CCGCCCTCTGCGCCGCAGCCCGGCGCTTACTTCAGCGGGGGTGAGGCAGGCGGAGCCCTGCCCCGCCCTTTGTTCGCGGCGCTCCCCCCGCACCCGCTCTGGGGAGGGGACTGCACCCGCCACGACCCCCCACGGCTGTGGGATGGGCCTGCCCCGCCGCTAGGCGGTAAGTCCTCCCCCACAAAGGTGAGGGAGGGAAGCGTGATTCCTCTGCTGCCTGAGCGCTCGTCCCCTAGGCTGCCTGGCAAGGAGCATTTAGTCCAAGCCCCACGCCGAGACAGGCTTGACCAAGCCCTGGCTGGGATGATTGAGTTGGGGTGGGTCCTGCTTTGGCCAGAGGGCTGGACTCCATGACTCCTGAGGTCTCCTCGGGCTTTAGGATTAAGTGTTCTCTAGAGCTCTGCCTCTCACCCTAGGGATAGAAACAGGCAAGGCCCGCCAGTTATCGCCAGGGCCTGCAGCTCCTGGTTACCACTACTGCAGGAGGCCAAACCCTTTCAGTTGCCCCTGGAGTGCAGTGTGGCTCTGAGGGGTGCCAGGGTTGAGGGACTGCATAGCGTGGCCTGGGCAGTACTGAGGGCTGGCTGCCCCTAGTCCTGCTCCTTGCAGGAGCACAGAGCTAGAGGCCCAGCAAGTCTGTCAACTCCCCCTCCCTCCCTTCAGAGGCCATCCAGGGGCTACATCAGCTTCTCTAGATATTTGCCCAATTTTACAATGGGCTAGAGCCCTGCAGCCAGCCTGGAAGCAGGATCAAAAAAAAAAAAAATCAACAAATAAGGGAGGAAACAGACATTGTGGAAGAGGAAAGGGATTAAAAAAATGCCTTTGGATGCCGCCAACATGAACAGCCCTGCCAACAGTGACTGCTCTCCAGCCAGCAACCCACCTTTCAAGGCAGCACTGCTACCAGCAGCAGATGGGTGGCAATACTAAACAATGCCACTCTTCTGCATTTCTGCTGCTAGGAGCACTGCCCTTGGCAGTCTAGCTCTGAAAGGTGTACAGCTAATTGAAAACCAGTTATCTAGACTATCCTGGACAGGTATTTGGATTTAGGTAAGTCTCTCCTATGTCCCCTAGGAGTAAATAAAGGAAAGTCCTAGTATTTGTGGCATCAAAACAATACCCCATGCAGGAACTGTTCACGCAACGTTAAAATAATCTCCTGCATATATGAGTTATATTGTGATATGCTTATACAGAGGTGTATCTTGGACCACAGAGGTTAACATCCAGATGGGTAAATTCATCCCTGTTTTCATCCCACTGCAGTTAAAACAGGATACATTTGGCCTTGGAGTCTAGCCAGTGATTTCTTTGTTTCCTAGGAAAAATCCTGGGAAGCCAGATACACAAAGGACCTGCAGAACAGCTGATTAAGGTAAATGTCTTGGCAAAAATGAAATTGCTCTCTTGCTGTGGAGGGCAAAGGCAAGAGAAGAGTGGCAGACAGATGAAGGTTTACAAGCTAGTAATTTGTGATGGGGTGGGATGTTATTCAGGTTTGTTGCATGTTCTTCCCTTAGATATGTCACTGATTTTAGATTGTCCATTCCATGGATCTTCAGGTTACCCCTCTTACTCTCAGAATCTGCTATTTCTAGCCCTTGTGCCATTACCAGCTAAGTGAAGGAAGGTGAGTCTGTTTGAAAAAGTAGCCAAGGACCTCGGGAGCTTGTTCTATCTAATTTTTAAATGTAAACCATCCCTCTGCTAATCCACGGTCCCTTGCTTACATGAGTCACAGAGTGTTTATTGACCAGAGTGTACTGGCTCAGGAATGTGAAACTCATTAATATCAAGCCTAAAATTTATGTTGTCTTAAATAAAGTGAGAAAATGTACAGTATGTCTTGCCACAGCCACACACTAAGTATGACCGAGCTCAATCTTGCTCCTAGTGAACATAGTGGGAGTTTAACTATTGACTTCCCAGGAAGCAAGATGGAGCACTACATTAATTCTTAGCACATCCACCATTATAACTCTATTATTTTAGTGCAGTGTTTCTCAACCAATGATATGAGTACCCTGAGGGATATTCGAGAGGAGTCTGGGAGGTACGTCAACACAACTGAAATTTGGAGAAAACTGAATTTTTGTTTTAAGTTTTACAGCAGTTTATTATTTTTGTACTTTTTACACTCAAAAATTGAATTGCCTACACAGCTACAATTAAGTTGTTAAACAAATGTTTTGCAATGGTAGAAAACAAATTGTCTGAAAATTGTAGGTACAGGCAGTCCCCGGGTTACGTGGATCCAACTTACGTCGGATCCCTACATACGAACGGAGCTTTTCTCGCCGCGGAGGATGCAGGCGGTGGGACCAACCCGGCAGCACCCCAGCTGCTCTGCCCCAAGCGTCCCCAAGTCAGCCACTGGTCAGTTTCAGCAGCGGCTGACTTGGGAATACCTGGGGTAGAGCAGCTGGGGTGCTGCCAGGTTGGTCCCCATAGTGCCAAGGTGTGGCGCTGCGGGGGCCCACCCGGCAGCGCC